GTCAACTCCGGGGCCATAGTGCAGCTGGAAGGATTAGGTCAACTGAAAAAATTTAATGACCTCATCGGTACTTGAACCCACGACCTTCTGGCTAAGTACTGAATAAAAAAGCAGAAAAACTAGGTATCACAATCAGAAGATGAAAGAAAAAGAGAAACATCTGGGTAACCTTGAAACTAAAAGGACCAAGAAGACACTGACAGATGTCAATGAAGCTGGAAAAGCGACTTCAATTGCATACTGACATTCAGCAGTAAAAAGAGGGTAAAGCTGTCCCTGTTCTTAAATAATTAAGCGACATGCCTTGAAGACCTAGGGGGGAGTGGAGATATAGTTGCATCATTCTTGGCCTTAGTATTAGATGGAGGTGAGTGGTAAGCTTCATGCCCCAGCTGCTTTATCCCTTGGGGAAGAGCCTCTGGTATCCATTGGATCAGAGGCTGGGTGAGCCCAGAGCAAGTCTGGAAGCTATGGACAAGAGAAAATTCTTGCTTCTGCCAAGAATCATGTCCAGCTCTCAAGCCCACAGCCCATCACTATGTTGGCTTTGCTATCAGGGCACATGATATTTGGTAATGCCATCCTAAAACACTTCGACACATTTACAATTTTGTCCAATCAATAAAATAGTTTTCAAAAGATCCATACACGAAAAAAATGTAAATTAGATCTCTGAACTATAATTTTAAATTGTGACAGTAACATTGATAGTAAATTGGAGATCTCTTTCTTTGCACTGCACTGTATCACAAAGGAATGTAAATCATAACTTATAAATTGGACGAATTAAAGCTTCTTACTGCATTTTAACTAATTATGCATATGATAGGTTATTTGCATATCCAAAACCTGTGAAACATTAACTTATGAGAAAGTGGCAGCTACAAACATTCCATCACCATGAGAGCACAAGAATAAATCTGAGAGGTTATTCATTCTTAATAGTGATCCATGGTGCACCATTTCTTTGCAGTCATTTTAAAACAGAAGGCTATATCTGTATTGCATTGCATGCACAGGAACATAACTTCATTATTATAATTATAGACACAAAATTAATATCAGTGTGACAGTATTAAATGTGTTACCTCAAGAACTGGTGACCAGAATTTCAAGTTCATGCCATACTCACAGGTATTTTGATGCATCAGGCTTGAAAGTAGGTATAAAAATTATTCACATTAGTAAAGTGCCACACATACAAGATTAATCCACTGCCTCAAAATAAGTGTGTTCAGCTTAAAATTCTTGTTAATTGAAACATAATCATTTGAAAATTACAAGTTTTGATTTTGTATCTGTACTGATGTTTTATACAAGGCTCTTCAAAAAGTGACAAGTCACATGGTTGTACTGTAAGTTGTTGAGACTAATTTAAAAATGTATGTTGTAGGCTATAACAAAAACTAATGACATGGCAAAGTTTCAGTTACATGGGCATTCTTGCAAAAACCAAATTTTCTGAACTAGAAACCTCATTTCTTTTAATAAAATTTTGCTCAAAAGCATCACAGTTGTGTCTGTGTTATTGTAATTTTCACTGCTGAACTCAGCCAACCATCTTTAAAATAGACAGGTATTTTAAATTACCTTCTACATACAAATCATTTAATAGTGTGTACCTATGACTTCACCCTTAAGTGTATCTTCAGGTTATAATATGCACTGCCATCTTTAAAGAAGGTCTGATATCATCTGTAAATATGACCTGAAATAATTTCAACCATTAAGAAGAAACACAGGTTTATGGAAAAACATTTAATATTTTTTCATTTGTTTGGTTAATTAATAATGAGAAATTCTAGTTGCAACTGGCAATGCCAAGTTATAAATTATGGACCTGAATTAATTTAATGACACTTATCTGTGTTCAAATGTGAAAGAGTTTCAACTTAATCAGATGACCACCCGTCTCAGGGTATGAACTGGGAGCACACTATACCCATATTTTAACTCAGTTTATTGAGTCCTAGTCCGAGTCTTATGTTGCAACCAATGGTCAGTCGGCCAGTCTGTCAGGGAATAAAGCACCCATCTGGAGCTCGTAACTAGATTTTTATAACTGTCAGACAGTTGCGGGTTTGTTGATGTGGGGGCGCTTTCTCTGATGAGTGGATGAGTCTGTCATTTACAACTGCTGCTGGCCCTCACCAGAGCAGTCATTCTCAGATCCGAGTTCCATGGGACTCACGATCATATTTTATGATCTCAGATTCAAGACTTCCTTCTTCGTTGCCTCCTGCAACTTGCAGGGCTATGGTGGAGGTACTTCACAGCATTGCTGTCAAATTCATAAAGCTATGATATTAAAGAAATATATAATTTGATGATTAAATAACTTTCAATAGTAAGGTAAAATTGTCCTTGTGCTTAATTAATCAAGCACTATGCATGAAGACATGAGGGAACAGATATACAGCTGCACCATTCTTGACCTCAGCACTAGATGGAAGGGAATAGTTGGCTTCATGCCCTGGCCACTTTACCTCTGGGAAAAGAAACCCCCGTACCCATTGGATAGGGGGCTGGGTGAGCCCCAGAGCCAGTCTGGAAGTTCTGGAGAAGAGAAAAATCTCTTGTCCGCTACCAATTTTCCATAGTACAAACAGATTTAATTTTCTGAAACAAGAATTCAGGAAATAGTTTGAACATTACTGATATTTAACTGATAATTCAAACTTCAGTGTCAATAAAAACAAATATATTAATAATGTTCCTTGAAATCTCAATGCAAATAGGTTAGTGGTTGCATGTACAGATTTTTACATAAAAATTGGCTTTCTTTTTCATTTACTTGAAACAACCTATCAGGAATTTGGGCAGATAAGATTTTAAAGCATGTAAAATTCATTAGCAGTCAATTTAATTTTGTGATTACACCGCATTAAGATCATACTATAAGTTTGGTATCAATAAATTATATTACAAGGGAGACTATATTAACATGCTATACGTTTGGTATCAATAAATGATATAAGGGAGACTAATGTCCTTTAAAAATGACAAATCAGAAGTATAACTATTTTGAATTGTTTCATTTTGGTCCGTTACACTATCAATCACAAAGTTAATAGAAAGTCCGTCGAGTGTAACAATTTGTAGGTCACTTTTTATTATTATTTCTGCCTTACATGTTTCGGTTTGACACAACCATCATCAGAGGCACTTGCTATAATTATGGAAACACTGTCGCTTTTTTTTGATGTTCACAATTATGTTTGTCATTTGGACGCTGCTACGATATGTTGACGTGTAAAAGCACAAAACATTCTAAGATAGTTGAGTACACTCTCAAGTTCTCACTTTTCATCCGAACCTATTTTAAGTTAAAACGCTAAAATGTTAAAATATTTGATATAAAATGCTGAACTCCTCCTTGTTAATTCATCCCGAAGATGGGAGACGTCAGCTTGAGGTTGTATGGCTTATGGTTTGATATGTTCCTGTGTGCTGTGTATTGTGTATACAGCTGACGTCTCCCATCTTCGGGATGAATTAACAAGCAGGAGTTCAGCATTTTATATCAAATATTTTAACATTTTAGCGTTTTAACTTAAAATAGGTTCGGATGAAAAGTGAGAACTTGAGAGTGTACTCAACTATCTTAGAATGTTTTGTGCTTTTACACGTCAACATATCGTAGCAGCGTCCAAATGACAAACATAATTGTGAACATCAAAAAAAAGCGACAGTGTTTCCATAATTATAGCAAGTGCCTCTGATGATGGTTGTGTCAAACCGAAACATGTAAGGCAGAAATAATAATAAAAAGTGACCTACAAATTGTTACACTCGACGGACTTTCTATTAACTTTGTGGCAGAAGTATAACATTTGGGTTCAAGATTAATTTAACTCTGATGCTAAGCAAGAGGGTTCATGATAGCTCTATAAAATAACTACAGATGAGAGGGCTAGGGAGCAGATTTTTTTTTCCCACTATAAATGTTGGAGAAGGATGGAGAAGATCAGTTGGACCGATTATGTGAGAAATGAAGACGTGTTAATTAGAGTCAGTGAGCAGAGGAATATCCTACATGAAATAAGAAAATGGAAGGCTAATTGGATTGGTCATATTTTACGCAGAAACTGCCTTCTAAAAGAAGTTACTGAAGGAAAGATAGAGGGGCAGATAGAAGTGACAAGAAGATGAGGAAGAAGACGTAAGAAGATGCTGGATGACCTTGGGGACAGAAGAGGATACTGTCATTTGAAGGAGAAAGCTCTAGATCGCATTAGGTGGTGGAATTGTTTTGGAAGAGACTGTGGCCCTGTCGTCTGACAGATTACTGATGATGATGAAATTTTAATGTTCCATACAGACCATACAATATTCTATCTGATGGATATACTTGTTAACACATTCCCTTTCTTGGTGTAAAGGCAGTCAAAGCAATAATAGACCACTAACTTCCATATAGTACCGATATCAAAAATATGTGGAACATAAGATCTGTATACCTTTTACTTTCATCCTATATTACAGGCCTAATATATTTAATTGATGAAAGAGTGCTCACTATTATAATGTTAATATTCAAAATTTCTGTACCTAATCCTTCAGCTACTAAAGTCAGGATGACAATTTAAATCTTTACTTTAACATATATCAAATAAATTTAGAACACAAACATTGTCTGATGTTCTGTATACACCAAATTGAAGAGCCTTGAACATTTAACACTTCAAGTGTACCTACAGAGGTACATTGGTAGCCTTGTCACTGTGACATTCACATTGCTGTCCAGGGTAATTTTATCTTTGTATTAAAGTCTGAGAGGATGTAAATATTAGCAAGACTTGAAGTGTTATTTTATCTAGTCTTAAAATATCACATGTTCAGTTTAGAGAAGACCCAGATTAATTATGATTTTATTAAGTTTCATGCATCACTGCCCTAAGCATTTCCAATCAACCAGCAAGCACTTTACCTGTTAAAATGATGAAAGATTGGGCAAGAAATTAGATATTAGCAGAACCATCTCAACTAGCAACACTAACCTGGCTCGATAACTAAAAGAGGATTTGATACTTTATCTGTGATGTATGTTTGATGCTTAATTTTCAAATTACTGCAGTTTGGAGCAAAGGAAATTTCACTGAAATAACAAACATTGTAATAAATATTAGATTACTACATGTTTAGGCATTTGTAGAAATTTGTCCTATCACTCCACTGCACTGCATTCAAACTCATGGATGAATAAATTAGGAGATTTTTAATTATTCCTATGAAAGGTTGTTAACCAGTCAAATTTCAGAATTTGATATCTTAAACTCAGACAGGTTTTTCAAAACAATTGGAACAAAGTATTTAAAGAACCTCTTGGAAAACTTCAAAATGGCTAAAATTTATCATGTTTATGATGAAACCCCTCTATGTGGAATAAAACTGAAGTATCAAAAAATATGCCAAATAAATGGAAAAATTATGGAACACAAATACCATTATATATATATACATATATAAAGAGATCCTAAGTATACAACTGCAGCATTGCTTGGATAGATTTATGAATTTCTTTCTTGCTGTATTATATCAATTTCATTTTGTGGAATAAATGAAATAATGTTATGAATTCTCATGTTACTAAAATTATAGAATTGTAATGAGAAGTAATACTCTCATGAATAGGTCATATATGTGATTGATATGAACCACAATTAAGGTTTGAGAGAGATAACATAATAATGCTCACATGACAGTGAAATATCCAATTACATCTGGTATGACAATTGCAGGTAGAGAAAAATCTTTGCTTTGCTAATCCTTAATCTCTCTGAGGGTGACAGAAATCCCTGCCATATTGCTTTCTGTTCTCCTTCATTACAACATTTGTCCGCAATCAGCAATGTTTGTCATATGAAAGATACTGTTGACAATGAACTTATTATTAATTTGTGTGGACTGTTGGAATCACTGCCTTTCCATAAGCATATATAGGTCCACAGATGAATTAAAATAGATGAGCATCTCAGTGTTGCTGGCTATATACATATGACCATAGTGGAGGATCAACAACATTTGAGTGTTTCCCACAAAGCACTTGGGAAAATATATTTCCGAATATTTAAAGGTGAGTTAAAATTAATACTAAATCACCATGGTTGATAAATTATTGACACACAAAAATGATTGTTTAATGATTTAATCTGTTGTCCATCCAAGCAATGCAACAGATATACGAGTTCAATATACAGAGAATAAAATAAAATAATTTCCTTTTCTGTCAATAAATTAAAATGTATATCACACTACATGATATAATACTTTGTTATATCACTTGACAAGATTGTAAAAATAAAGTAATACTTGGTCATTATAGGGCAACTAAAAATTAAAGTCTATTCAAACTGTTACTTTTAAACCACGGTTCAGTTGTGCACAATAACTGAAACAAAAATATGAATTTCAACTAAATGTAATTAATCAGTTTTAATAATTTAGAAGAAATTAATCGTTTTGAAAGCTTGTAATGATTATAAAAAACCTATGAAGTATTATCCCATTCTTCTAGAAGTATCATGAAAAAAATAGATATTTCTTTTTAATTATTCCTTCAATTGGCATCCTGCAGCATTTTTCAATATGATAATTTCTAAAGCTAGAAAAGCAGGAAACAGCACTAATACTGACCATATAAAAACCATGTAAAATTTCTAAAAGCATCATTCCTTACACTGCAAGATGAAAAATAATGGAGTGACCGAGATACTGGTCAACTCATTAGACATATATTAAATGTTAATTAAGTGTTTCAACTGCTATTCATTGCATATTCCATAAGGTATCTGTCATGTCTGCATTAGAGTTAATTGGTGACTGCCATTAAATTTTAGTACAGTATTATCGGTATATTATATCTCCCAGTCTCACATTCAACATAATAAGAAAATCAATAAAAGTTTTTAATCAATTTTTAGATGCTCTGAAAATTCAGAAGAAAACATTAAAATACTGCCAAATTAACTTTTTATGTGTCTATATTTCCATATTTTGCAAATATTTTTGTTTGTATTATTAATGTTGGACAAAATATATGATGAAAGTAATAGTAATCTGAGCTTTAAAAATTTGTATTTACTCATTTAATTTCTATCTTCTAAGGAAAGAGACAGCCAAAGGGTGTAGGACAATATGTTTTCCTGGACCACAGTTTAATAGAATGCTGATACCTTTAAAAATACTTAGCCCATTTCATAAGTCATAACCCACTGTATAGGGATCATGATGGGACCTCAAACTGATACATTCACATACAGCACAACATGATAATAAAGATAACTGATCCACTACTATACAATTTAGCAAGCAGCATATATGAGGATTGGAACTTTAATAGTGGCAACTATTTATTTACAACTTATACAAAATAGAAGCATGTTTCGAAGTTCTACTGACCTTCAGTGTAGTCACCAGCATTGTATACAACCCATTGCTAGTGATGTAGAAGTCGTAGGATACCTTTAGCAGTGCATGTTGTGTTGATAGTTCAAATGGAGCGGTCTACGACCTGAAGAATCTCTGGAACAGTTCTGAAGCGAATGCCACAAAGTGGTTCCTTCATCTTAGGAATTAAGTCGAAGTCACAAGGGCTTAAGTCCGGGGAGTATGGTGGATGGTACAACACTTCCCAGCCCCATCGATCGAACAAATCAGCCACAGCTTGCAATTTCTGCATTCCGTCAAATCTTGCAGAACCCAACATGATGCAATTTTTCTCATGCCCAAGTGTTCCTTCAGAATGTGAAGCACAGTCATATGCACTAACCCTGTCTCTCAGGCCAGTTCACGAATCGTATGGTGTCGATCACTCTCCAGTAACGCGGAAAGAGCATACACTTCTTCACTGAAACTAGGACGACCTGGCTGGGTTTTACCCACCTTTCCAATGATCTGTAAGGCAATTCAGATTCCCCGCAATCCTCTTCAAGACCTTGATGACACTGTTGTGCTGTATGGCCTCTGGCACATACAATCTTTATCCAACTCCGTTGTTCCTGTTTCGAAAACATCATGACAACACTACATTAGACCGCCAGCTAACACGAGGCTCTGTTCTTCTCATCACTGCGCACCCATGTGATGTGGGAAGGGAGAGTCCATTTGCTCTGAGGTAAGGTAGGTATGTAACTAACGTGTGGTATAAGCAACATTATTCAGTAGCGTTGCATGGCGTCTCTACAGCAGTGTCACCACTATTAAAGTTCCAACCCTTGTATTTTAATGTGCTAGCATGGTCATAAGTAGTTTTTTCATGTGTCCTCACACTTCATAAATCTCTTCTAACCTCATACCAAAGATAGGAATAATACTGAGTTGATTATTTTGCCAAATGCGTTTTTGTGGCATTACATTTTCACATCTACAATTTTCTGTCTAAACATAGCTCATCCTTGTAAGAAATTTGTAATGAATGTATTTTCAATTGGACCCTAAAAGTTGCCAGTTATCTATAAAAATATCAGAAACCAGCTTCAGAATGGAAGAGCATATGGAAATAAATATTTTCTTTTCTCTTTTTATCTAATAAACATAACAGATGATGCATTAGCTCTCACTATCACCACTATCAGCCTCATCTTCATGACAGTCCCGGTTCAAGCCTCGAATATGTACGTACTGAATATTTTTTGGGTCTGAGGAACCAAAATTCATACACCAGGGTCCAGAAAATACAGTCTCCATTTCTTCCAGAGATCTTCCTTTTGTCTCTGGTAAAAGGAACAGCAAGGTAATTAGTCCAAGTCCAGCAAAACCAGCATACAGGTAGAAGGCCCCTGAAAAATACGGATATGCGAAAGTATTAAAATCATACACACTAATGTGCAAAGAATACAGGTTTTGTAATTATCACAGCCTATTTTACAGCTTCTCCCATCATACCAATTTATACCAAGATTAATAAAGCTTTGTATGAATATTATTTTCATTCATAGGATTTACTTCCATGTGTATTGTATTGTATTGTAGTGTATTGTATTGTATTGTACTGTATTTTATTTTCATCCGTTTTGCTACATAGTAACACTTGGGCAAGTCATTCGGCAATACAAGTTAACAAAACGAATCTACAAAGTTACAAGCATACTACCAACATTTGTCACAATCATAAGCAATGTATAAATACAACATTCCAAAAAATACACAAAACTACAATATACAGCTCCTGAATGGCCATGACATCCAAACAAAAGGACTTGCACCATCCACTTTTTTATTAAAACTAACAAATTCATTTATCGTATAAAAAGAATGTTTCGGTAAAAAGGATTTTAAGTCTTTTTTTAAAAGCTGAAAAACCCACTGCGTTTTTGTTATTTTGTTTGGCACCTTACTATACAATTCTATCCCCATATTGACCACACTTTTTTAAATAATGTAGTTCTGCAGAATTGAACATGAAAATCCTTGTTTATTCTTGTATTATAACTACGAATATTTATATTTTGGATCAAATCTGCTTTGTACTTTTTTTATGTAACATAACACCTCTAAGATATACAAAGAAGTGACTGTGAGGATGCTATAATCTTTACAAATTTGCCTGCATGACGCTTGTTTACCAAGTCCACTAATTATTCGCAGCACCCTCTTCTGCATTTTAAATATCTTTATACTATCACCTTCACCCCCGCCCCACCCCAAAAAAATATTATTCCATAATACAGGGTTAGCCTAAAAGAAATAAACAGTTTAAATGATGCGTGTTCATGAAACTTACACACGCAGCCCAAAAAAGGTCGACAACACGTGCAAGTTTAGAACTTCAATTTCCACAATAGACTGTGTGAAATATCTTGCATAAATGTTTATGAATGTTCCCTTACAGGTTGTGATTATTGCAGAACCTCACTGAAATTGACAAAGTCCTCCATCACTCATTCTGTATGGATATGCAGCAACGGAATGAAGGAAGTAATTATTTCTTTAACTGGCTAGGTTTTGGTGTCAAATCAACGTTCCACATTAGTGGTACGTAAACAAACACAACGTTCATATATGGGGAACTGAAAACCTGAGAGTTGTAGTACAGTGTGTGAGGGATTCACCTCAAGAGCACGTTTTTTCTGCTGTATCCCATAAAAGGGTTTACCCATGTAAACTTCAGGGCATACTTTTCAAACCATATAAGTATCTTGGCCATGCTATTAAAACTCTTCTTTCTGTAAAACTTTGAAAGTGTCTATTTCTTTTAGGCTAACTCTGTATAATGTGGAAGTGTTAATACTGATTTCTTCATTTAATGCTAAGTTCAAGTGAGAAAAAAATTATGATGGAACAAATATTATGAAGTTCTTGTTATTGCATTCAAAACATATAACATGGTAGTGTGAACATATGCAATATGGAAGTAACTGTATTTGTTTCCATCAATTTACAGGCTATAATTGAGCCTTGATATATGCGCAGCTACCGCTACACAATTTTTCTTAGCAAATTTTCCTATGGCATGGATAATCATAAAGTCCTTAATTCACTGCAAGTTCCATCATCAGTTTATCAACCTCCAAGGTAATTGCTTTAGCAAAAGATAAAACAAGAATTTCTAGGAAGAACTAACAGCCTACTTTCCTGGAATGACACAGACCGCATAGAAAATTACATGTCTAACAATTCCTCTATTTTTGCATGGATATTCATTGCTGCAGTAACGATTTCACCAAGCTGTTACCTAGCAATGATAGGGAACACATATAGACACACAGACTGATGGGAGAGATTTATGAAGTATGCCAGTAATATGGGTTCAGAGTGCCATGACATATATATCAAGTTTCATAAAGATCAGTTCAACCATTCAAAAGTCATTCGTACACACACACACAGAGGCAGCATGGTGATCACATAAGCATATTGTTAGTTTTTCAAAACAAGTAAAGTAGGCTAACTATAGCAATCCTTAAAAAAAAAGTAAAGCTATCCCCGTACCAGGCCGTGAAGGCCCATAGGGTTGTGAGACGTTGAGGTTCCCACTATAACAATCCTTAGTGAAACTAATAATTAATATTGGTTGCCTAAGTATAAAGTATTATAACAGAACAAAGTATGTCATATGAGTATTTACCAAGATTTTTATTATGTTTTACATGGTTTCCAAACACAAACATCAAAGAGCCAACACAATTTTCTTCCACTAACAGGCCATCATGAGGCTGTTAGTACTGTATAAGGAAGCATTAAATTCCTTACTGGCCTTGGTAAGTGAGGGATATAAACTTTATCTGTAATACGTATATACACAAAAACAAAAATGGAGAAGTGTGAGGTCAAATGACTTAAGGAGACTACTTAACATAGTTCTCTTATTTTGGAAGGCAGTATCCATAAAATACTCAATTTCTTGTGAAAATGAAACAACAGCCCATAAAATCATGCAAATTCGCTACTCCTAAACTTAGCTATTTGAATCCTGAAAGTGATAAATGCATTCTACAAGCAACAAAAACAGAGCTGAACTCTAACCCCTGAAACATGAACTGACTTATTATTCTCAGCAGTGACATACTTCTAGTTCCATCTCTCTTAATGCGTTTGTTTGAACAATTTGTGTAAATAACAGCGCAAAACTGTGTAGAGCATATATATAATGAAATTCTGTCATTTAAAACAATTTAAAACAATCCTATTAAGGATGTACAGATTTTTCTGAATTTCCATTACAAGTGCGGATGTATTAGAATTAAATAGTAGCCTCTTGTGGAAAAAAATAAATGAATTTCCAATGTTGATAGAAGGTGAGAAATATTTTCTAAGCTTTTACTAGCTTCTCAAGAATGAGTCAGAGTCATGGAATGAGTTTGTGAACTACACAGATATCAGCAGATATATATAATTTTAACACACCTTCCCTTGTAATAAGTGCACATACTGTTTCTAAGTTATTCTGTCAGATTTCATTTATGGGAAAAAGAAAATGGTTCATAATACTAAGACCATCTGTAAAAATTGCACACAATTAAGAGAAATGACAATTCATAAGATAAATAAATAACATGGTGTCTGGAACAAAGAAACTGAGTCCTGAAGAGACACGGATTCCACTAGAGCAACTTTCAGAAAATAATTACTGCTACTGTCCACTTCTCATAGTGTTCAGAAATTCATCTTACCTTCTCTGGTGAGCACCTGTGTTAGTGTTAGGAAAGTCATAGAGATGAGAAGATTGAACAACCAGTTTGTTGATGTGGCAACACTGTTACATGAGCTTCTAGCCCACATAGGATATATTTCAGAGTTGATTGTCCACGGCATTGGCCCCATACCTACATAATCAGAACAGACAGCTAAATTGTGTAAGATTTCAGGTTTTCACGGCGGTGACTATGAAGAAAGCAGTCTTCTGGGATACATGCTCTAACCTTGCTCCTGTCCCAGACCCTTCCCCTCTCCCTCCCCACTGATTTCCCATGTAGACTTGCCCCTTCCTTCCCTGCTCTCATATAGCTGAGTTTACTTCCGACATTAGTCTGCTTGCACCTGCTCTCACTGTTTCTACGCTTGCGCATTGTCTTATTTTTCCTTCTACCCTGAAGATGATGGCGATACATTCCTCTCAAACGTCAGTTAACACCACATCTACATGGCGCTAATCCCAGAAGACTGCTTCCTTCATAGACAGCTAAATTATTCACTGAAAACTTGAACCATTTTTATTAAGAGTTTTTAGTTGTAATCAGACAGACTTGCAGCTTCTGTGGTGCAACCGCACATTTCCTAAATTCTATATGCTGTGACAGGTTACTTCATGGACTTTGAAAATTATTCACCGAGTTCTTATCGCTATCACTGTAGACTCTCATACAAATTTCTTTCAGTACACAGAAATATATTAAATTCAGGAGCATTATTTTACTGTATCTTGATTTATTTACTAAAGCTTTATCAACTACATTGTTTATACACTGTAGAATGGCAGAATGATTATGGCTTATGAACAGAAAAGGATGCAGAGGAATGTAGCATGTTCTTCCTTGAAGCATCATCCCAATTTGTCTTGAGGAACTTAGCAACATTAAAAAACGCCAGCTGCATGCCAGAGATTTGAAGTAAGGACAGCGAAATTGAAACAGGAGTGCTATAATGCTACATTGCATTACCTTCCACCAACTTAACAGATCACCCATGCATCAAGTGTTCCAAGCTTTCTCTTCTAACCTCTTCCAAATTAATGCAGTGTTACAAACTGGGTGACATCAGATATCCCATTCTTTGAGACAAATAAATAATAATTAACTGTCAGTCATTCATAACAAATTCAATGAATGTCATCTGTGAGTTTTTACCTGGTGCAAAGAAGAGCAAATAGATTCCAAGTGCTGCAACTGCTACCCAGGAATACCTTGATGGACACCAGTCCACAGCCCATGTGAGTTCTGTGTTCTCTCTCATTACTGTCGCATTACTGCACATGCCCATCTCTGGGTAAGAGAATGGATCAACAGGATTTTGTGCCCAGCAGGATCCATTAATTATTCCAGAAGGCAAATCCCAATAACAGAAACCGCAATTTTTGCTTATGCAGTCCGTACAAGTCCTGCAAAATTATATAATTTAAAACTTTGTATTTCCACATGAATCTCTTGAACATGTACCATATCTGTTGCTTAATGATATCTTTAGCTTGTCTTGTTTTGTAGGTTATTTTATGACACTGTCGGTATCTAGACTGTATAGGGTCAAATGGCAGGATGACCAATGAAGTAGAAAGATTTGGTATAAAGCGATCATTACCTATATGAAGTATTGTCCCAGCATTTGCCTGGAGAGTCTGAGGAAAGCAATGAAAAAGATCAGGCAGGATAGACAGTATCCTGGCCAAGATCTGAACTGAGCACCTTCTGAATACCAGTCTACATTGTTATTGCTAATTGCTTGATATTTGTCTCTTTAACATACTGTTTTATACATTTTGTGTGTCACATAACGAACTGAGGCAAATTCCAAGTAACAGTGTTACCAATACCCTATGATGGGGAGGAGGGCATTAATTAATTAAAATTCAAGACTGAACATAAAATGACATTTGAATGTATAGTAATCACATCACCCAGAACAAAGAAACAATATTAGGTGCAGAGAAAAATTATGTAGGTTCGTTATTATGTACTTGTCTCCAACCTCTTGTTACTTCTTCCATATTCTTGAACTAAATCCTCTGATAAGACCATCGATTGAATGTTCCATTTGTACTGGGGAAACTAACCCATTCACTCTAAAGGCCACGCCATAGCTCAAGCAGTTAGTCGCTGGCTTCCCACCGCGGTGGCCCGGGTTTCATCCCAGGTCTGGTCAAGTGGGATTTGTGGTGGACAAAGTGGCTCTTGGACGGGTTTTCTCTGAGTACTTCGGTTTCCCCTGCCAATCTTCATTCTACCAAATTCTCCATCATCATAATCAGCCAGGGCAGGCTACAATTGGCCAATCAGTGGCCGCCATGCCAAGTAGGCCCAGTTGGACTCTAGCCCCCCACTAAGAAAATTAAAAAAAAAAAAACATTAACTCCATGGAGTCAAATTCTTCTGTGGAAAGTAAGACTCACTTAGCCAATCAAACAATTCATTGCCTTTTACGGAACCCAAAGGGCTGTTACTATATTCAAAAAGGGCTGCCAATGGTTTACAATCAGCTGGAGAATGCACATTTAGAATATTAATGTCACATTAAGAAGCCCCAAGTATCAAATATGATATACTGTTGTGAGCAAACTGTATCCTTGTGAATGCTGACTGCATTATCTCATGCATGAAATAGGCTGTTATGTTCATTAACTTCTTCATATAAGAATTCATATCATCTGCTGAATGCAACTTACACTTTGACAACTGTCTTCCTACTGTATTTCAATGAAGTCATCATCAAGAAACTCGTATGTTTCAAATTCTATATATCGACCATATTTTTGTGTATATCATGACAAAGAATTGTCAAAGTCCAAGGCTCTTTGAGACCATTAGTAATATATTACTTTTAAGCTGTGGGGGCACATTAACCCAACATCTGACCTTAAGCAGAGGACCACGCCTTGTCAGCTGTCTAGATTCCTTATTCAACATAGTCATATGAATTATTAAGTGATGGATTAATTTATGCTGATTGTACTGATGGTGAAATGAATAATATCAAGAACTATCCTAGAAGACTAATAATCGAGCAAAGTTTGTATAGTATTTAATGACAATACAGAGTTAATAAACATTTTCCTGAATATTCATGGTTGTCATTTATTTGAGTAATCATCTTCTCCATTCTCCCATAATGTTAGAAGCTGGGTTTAGTTAAAACAGAGAAGATTATCTCCTGATACATAATTTAAAGCAATGGTCAAGGCATACTACTTGGCTGTTTCTTAATTCTTTTTACAAGAATATAAGTACTAATGTCCTAAACGACTATGTTTTATTAAATAAAGATTTATCAATCAAGCACCGAATATGCAATATTTCTAGTAATGATCAAATGCAGTAATATGAATTCGTAGTTAATATGAACTTAATGTTGGTTTTTGTCAGCATACAGTATATTTAAAAAGTTGGCACTAATTTTGTTGACAAGCGGCGGTCGCTCAGTTGGTATAGTTCGCTTGCGGACTAAAACTACGAAATTTTTTTACAGTACACTTAATATGTTAATTACCTAGCCAATGAGCAGCTACTGTTCCCTGTTAGTGTCACAGGGGGTGCATCAAGTGTCATTAAGTGGAATCCAACTCCCAAAATAATTAATGAAATGACGACACCTGTAAAAGGATACACACATTAATCAATATTTCACTTCATGCAGAAGGTGAATTCTAGTATTTGTTGAGTTTACTGACAGTGCACTATGACCATAACACAGATCTGAACTTGGAATCTATTTGATACACAAGATTAGAAGCAAATATATCTGTATTACAGCCCTAAGTTTTCTGTACCATTCAATTAATTACTCTAACAATCAGTGTCTTATTATCAATATTATTAATTAAAAAATGGCCAACCTACATCAAGAAGCAATCTCTCACACACCAATACAATATGTTGCTCCACTTGCCTCCAAGAGACCAAAGTGTAAGTGGTCTCCTTCCAACTCGTTCCACAAGAAACAGGCCAATGAAGGTGCAAAAGAAATTTACAGATGCTGTTGCACAAGCTAGCCAAATGGCAATAGAGTAATCTTTCACTCCTGCCATTTGAATAATACTTGCACTGTAATACCTGAAAAAAAATATATATATAATTACAGTAGCATGATCAATAATAGAGCTGTAACAGCAGCTACAGTGGCAGTTAGGTTAGTTTCTGGTGTGAATGTCACTAGGATTTACAGTTTAGATCAAATGAGGACACCAATACAAAACAAAAAGAAGACTTTGTCTTTAGCAGTGAAGTGGCTATAGTGTGTGTTGACTACTCACCTCCATCTGACATTGAAGATTAGGAAAGACTGGAGCTATTCTGCAAATCAAAACTGAGGCTCCCAGTCTTAACATTTATCTTGAAACCTGCTTAATTCATTTACTGATCAGTTTCATGCTGGGACTTTTAATGATGTTTAACAGCAATAAATACATACCTTTCAATAGGACACCATATAAGAATCAACTACAATACAGCAAACACTGGCAGCAATGCTACAGTAGTAGAGTCATATAATAAGAGAAATGTTTATTGAAAATGTAGTCTAACTCATGGGGTAAAGTTTTTAAGAAGCACACCGTGAGATTATCAGGTTTTCATAGCAGCGAAAGGGGCCACACAGTGGTGTAGTCTGCCGAGGCACTATGTTACAAGCCAGAAGGTTGCAGGTTCGATTCCCAAAGGAGTTACTGGATTTTTCAATTGACCTAATCCTTCCAGCCGCACTACAGCCCTGGGGTCGACTCAGCCTCTAAAAGAAATGAGTACCAGGAATCTTCCTGGGGGTAAAGGGCAGCTGGCACATATGGCTGACCTCACCACTATCTGTGAGCCAACTGTCCACAAAATGTGGGAGCCTTGAGATGCCTCACAACCCTATGGACCTCCAAAGCCTGTTACAGGGATGTGTTTACCTTACCTTACCTTACCTTACCATGGCTGCGAAAATTAGACTGTGATTCAATACTGTATAGTCTTGATATTGAGAGCATCATTAAAAAACCAACTTAAAGAAAGAGTGAATGTGGTTTTATGGGTTATGACACCATATGGTTTCATAAGTGGTTATGGAACTATGGTACATCCCTGGTATCCAAGCATCCAGAATTCTCATGCAACTGGAAAAAATTTCTGAGAGAAATAGGCAATTTTTATAAAGTTAGTTCAAAAACAAAGTTGAGATGCACATATGTTCACCTGCCATGTGGTACTTCTCCCAGTCACTACTAGCATCACTGTCCATCATCCTTCCTCATGCAGATGCCATTACAATAGAGGTTAGTGGAATTTGTGATCACATTACACTACATCCTAAACTTTTGTCTATCAATCCACTGCGGTGTCTAGGAAGATTCGCACACAAAAACTAAAGTGAAAATATGTTATCTGTACTTTGTATTGGCATTCTATAGGAGTTCTCATGAAACTGGCAGATTCACACAATGAGCACACCTCATAACCCATACATGCTGGACAGGTGGGAGTTCACTGTATATGATACCATAACCTCAAAGGTCACAACCTTAAGCTAATAGTTAGTCACCAGTCTAAAAATTCCACACCTTTCATGGATCCACAAGGTTCATTCCCATATTCACAAAAGCCTCTTACTGAATCCTTAGCTAAACCAAATGAATCCAGTCACATTTTAACACCCAGTTTCTTAAAGATCCATTTTCAGTCATGCATAGATCCCAAAGTAGTCTCTTCCCTTCAAGTTCTCCACCTAAATTTTCTTGCATGTATGAAACATGCCCATTCATCTTATATACCTTAATCTTGAAACCCTAATAAAATTTGTAGAAGACTACAAAATAAGAGACATCTTATTATGCACTATTCTTGAGCTTCCTGTTTCTCCCTGTCTATTGGGCTCATATCTTGTCCTCAGCACCCTGTGATATCTAACTACAACTGAGATGCAATGAATTACAAACTGCAAATACGGAAACCTCGAAAATCTTCATATACAAATAAATCACTGACTAAATATATTGTTATGAATGTATAATTTTAACCTTCCTGGATAATCAGGCATACTAAGATGCAAATTTTTCAATACCTATATAGGAAGAGCTATAAAAAATGTTTTAAGAGCTCATTATTGCACGTAGTTAAAAATTCAAGGTTGTCTCAAAGTATGAAACTGCACATATGCTACTGAAGAATATGAATAAAATTACTTAAAAATGCACAGTACCCAGCCTCAAAGATAACTGAAATATGCTATATCATTCACCACAGTGGTATAAGGAATTGTGTAATAGCTTACATGACAGTGTTGATTCCAGAGAGCTGCTGTATGCCTTGAAGTAGGCAGCCAAGAAGCAAAGCCCTTTGGGTAGCCTTTGTGGTGAGGATTTTTAACCAGAGAGAGCTGCTACTTCCTGATCGTATTCGTACTTGTAACTCATTTTCCTCATCCATACATGCTTCTTTAATGCTTTCCAGTTCTTCTTCAATAGGAAAGTCTTCTTCTCGAATTGATCTCAGTACCTTCAAGGCTTCATCATACCTATGAACACGAAAGATGTTACTGTGTAAGGTTGCATGTGCTAATACTAATGAAGCAATAAAGAATTCTGATGTCATTAAATGCGAATTAACAATGATTTATTAACCCATTAACTATGATGGGTGGATTATTCTAACATATATATGTATATATACATACATAAAGAAAGAGACACACACATATAACAACATTTTGGCCTGAGAAATTCTGCAACAAAAAATTCATCAACTCTATCATGGGTATATATCAGTTTCATACGCAGAAATAAGTAATCTTTAACACAAAGTATAAAACATTAAGTTTCCTTCTTAAGTCTTCACATATTTGTATTCTTTTGTTAGACTTATTATGAACCAGAGCTGATGAGAGAACTATGTATGCAGAAACCATAATAAATTATGTTGGATTTGACGTTCCCACTGCAGTTATCTTTTGTGGGTTAGAATACTGTGCAGTCCAGTGAAAGTCAACTGATATCTTGGAAGAACATTCATCTCCATCTTCAGGGTCGAATAAGCAGCCAAGCAAGAAACCAGCATGAAGCACAGATCTACTTAATGCTAGTTTGTTGCATGGCTTATTATTCAACCCTGAAGATAGAGGTGGTGTGTCAGTTGACTTTCAGAGGCCTACATGGCATTATATCCCAAGAAACAGAACTCGCCATGATAAATTACATACTTACTTTTTCTTAGAGACCAACCACCGAGGACTTTCTGGCATTCCTAAAAATCCAAAAAATTGTATACTAGCTGGAACCGCAGCTAAACCAAGCATGTACCTGGAATGTAGATAAAATACTGAATAAAACAAACAAAATAATTTATTATGTGAAAAGACAGCAAACAAAATGGAAGACAAAGATCTAAGCTGTATTGCAATTCACATAATTTCCACATGCATTCTTTATACCATGACATTCTGAATACTCCCACCTTTTAACAATATCTTTCATCAACACAACAGCACTATTAATTATAACTTACAATTCAATTATTATATAACTGTCTTTCAATAATTTGAAGATCTGTCTGTGTCATTAACATATATTTATCCTTTTAAGAGATTATCATCGATCATTATGCTCTATAATTTGTACTCATACATAGATCATATTAGCCTCTAAGCACAATAGATCATTGTAGGTTGCGGTGCGAGGTCCGAGAAGGCCCACCCCTTATACATTCATTAGCTCATATTAACTTCCAACATTGCTGTTGGTTGCATAAAATTTCGAATAGAGAGCACGTGACTCCAAAAATTTGTTACCAAAGTCTACCAATATATTAAACAAGAATCCATGGTTTGTTCAGAATTTATAAAGTTTGTTGCCATTATAAATTATGCATATTTAAACATAGGATGTGTTAATGAATAACATAACTTGAAAGTCTACTGCACACATTTTAACTGTGTGGAATGAGAAAAGTATAAAATATAATCAACTGCCACAAAACTCAATCGGCTCTATTTATGAACATAATATCAATAATTATCATTCTGTCCATGATATGGAATTATGTGAAAGGTAACGAAATAGAGAGGAAATCTTTTCTGTTTTCTGTACCAACCAGCACAACCCTACTTATAGCAGAGCATATTTTTTTTAACAAAAATGAATAACTTATCAAACAAACAGACAAACAAGAAGATACAAGAGCAGCTAATGACAACTCACCTTTCATGTGGCAGGCACAAAAGAATATTACTAAATTTTACTGGTTCAGTTAACACAGTCAAATTAATTTTAATGACAGCAAGTTGCTCACTAATCAATAATTATGTTAAAATCAAATGTCAGCTTAAGTGAGGAATACAAAATATATGATGAAACGCTGTAACTGAGTTGCATGAATATATTTTAAGTCTGTTTTACTTTTAGCTTGCTACATATAGTGTACTGGATAATACTATAATTATAAAAAAATTAATTCAAGATTGAAATTATGTTTCATTAGACTTTAAAACTCCATGTCAGCATTATGCAGTATTTCAGGTGCATATTCCAGAGCTCATTTCCAGTAACAAATGTCATATAAACACGGGCATGGTTCTCAACTGTGACACAACTATGGGTATTTGAAGTTCAGCAGTGATTTATATGTATCAAAGCTGACTTATGTACTGTATTAACAAGTCTCTGGCCAGCTGTGAATTATTCACATTTTTTTGAAGATTTTGAATGCTATGGTTGTAACATGTTCACCTGAAACAATACACATATACTACTGTGGTTCCCTTACCTCCAACCATCAGGATGAGAACTAAATCCACCACAAACAGCAGAGGCAATGAACTGACCCCCAGTGATGAATATGGTGTTCAGAGTAACAAAACGACCACGAACTTCTGGAAGAGCACTCTCTGCTATGTATACAGGCACACTCATGCTTGCCACACCTTTGCAGGGAAACAACAAACATGCTAGCTAATGATTTGACACAATTAAGCTATGCTTGAAAGGGAAGCAGCTGTGAAGGACAAGGAATTCACTGTTGCTAAATTGAAAATAAAAACTTTTAAACAGTGTACATGTGCATAAATTAACAATAATAAAAAACGTCTATATAAAATAAGCTACAGTACTTACAGTTGTATAAAATACTTACGAGGAGCATAACTATACTGCATAAAACTACAAGGGGTGTCAGAAGTTAGTAATCACAGCATTATTATTACACATTAAAGAATTTTCACTTTAGTTTTCTCAAAAAAAAAAAAGAAAAAAAAAGTAATTTATTTTGAGAGAAGTTATACTGCATGGAATTAGAGAACTGTTAAATATGTTAATCCAAGACTTGTAAGAAATATTTACATTCAAGAAAAATAGGAAACTGACTGAAGATACTGAGTTAATACTTGTATATACATAGAGACACTTCTGGTCTAATTTCTGCATTTCTGCATTCCTGAAAATCTGACTAACCACTCCCAGAACTCTAAAGTAACTGTATCGATAATGACGATAATGACGATGATGGTGGTGGTGGTTGCGGTGGCGGGGGCGTCGGTGGCAGCGGGGGTGGTGGTGGTGATGATGGTAATCAGTTAGTGATATTCAAAGCAATATTTGGGGACCGCAAGAAGAGAAGAAATATTTTAAATATGGTACAGACTGATTATGAAAAAGTAGAAAGTACTGACCACTTAATATCAGTGTGTCCCATGTGGGGGGGGGAAGAGTAGAGAATAAGATGTGATAAAGTCTGTACACATCTACATCATTAAATATGCAAAAAATTATGCACTGAAACAGCAGAAAACTGTGCCAAAGTCTGTATAACAACAAGATGAAAATATAACAGGCCTATAGAATCAAGGAGTAAAAACAGATAGAGAAATTCTTGCAAACAGGCCCGACATAATAACTAAAAACAAGATAAGATAAGATTTGCATGTTGATAGACGTAGCAATACCCTTGGACAGGAATGCAATTCAAAAGATGATTGAAAAGAAATTCAGATAACATGAAATACAAAATTCTTTGTCATACTGATAGCTACTGGGGTCACAGGAATTTTAATTTTTTTTTACTGGCATAGTGGGGGGTGGAGTCCAGTTGGGTCCACTCGGCGAGTCAGCTGCCGATTGGCCTATTGCACCTGCCCAGGGTGATTATGATGATGGAGTCTTTGGTGGAATGAAGATTGGCAGGAGAAACCAAAGTACTCAGAGAAAACCTGCCCCGGCGCCACTTTGTCCACCACAAATCCCACTTCATCAGACCCGGGCTCAAACCTGGGCCTCTGCGGTGGGAAGCCGGCGACTAATTGCTTGAGCTATGGCGCGGCCTCACATTAATTGTTATTAAGGGATTTAAAGAATCAGGAAGTAACACATGGAAAACATTCATTAGATTCTCCATCTCCCCCCCCCAAATAAAAAAGCAGCTGTACTGGGAACACCACATATAACAAGGCAAATACTATACTACTTAAGCCTGAGTGATCAGGTTCACAAATGGTTCAACGGAAAAACTGCTATGATAAGAGAAGAAAACAAAAATGATGACAATAACAAAATCCTATTTTCTCTAATGACTGTATTAATGGTTTAAATGTCTGCTCTTAAGAAAATAAAGAATTATGACGTCCTTATACAATTGGTTTCAGTGAAAGTGGATGCTTCAAAGGTATCTGTACAGGTGTATGTGGGCTACACAGTGCAAGCCATAATGGTGCTTTGAGAGAGATGACAAAATGTTATGGCATGCTCAACCATTCTGGATTTATAATTGGAAACATTCGAAGCAATGGTGCATTTTCGTTTCTACAATAATTATTCTGAAGAGTAAAACAGAAAAAACTTCAGAAAATTTGATATATTTCATTTATATTCATTCATAAATCCTTTCCCAATCTTCATAAATTGCCCAAAACTTCTTGCTTTCCATTCCACAGTTTCATGAGATACAAATGTATCAGCATATTTTCTTAAAAACATGTGCGGTAACAATGAGTAAAACTTCACAGGAAGCTGAAGAAAACAGACATGAAATTTTGAAATCTGGATTTAATCCCCACAAGGCAACTGTACATAACGTGGCCCAATAAAACTGTGTCTTTGATCTTGTAAACTACAAATACTACAATAAATCACTCAAAATGGTAATCAGATGTCTATATTAATGTATGATAACAGAGTCAAGAAAGGCAATATCCTTAGTCAGGAAAATGCCAGGAAGTACCTAGAATAGGCTTCAACCACTGCTTTTAATATCCTCTCCAATTCATTATTCACTATCATCCTACCATTTGAGGTTATGTAACCTACACAGCTGAGGCTTGCTCTCCAGTTATCATAGCTCAGATCTTCATTTCAGTTGTGGAGTTGTGCTCAATGAAATAAAATTGAAAACATGTGTAAATGAAACCATGATTGGTAAACAATAAATGCTGCACCACATCTTGCAGAAGCTTAATTAATGATATGGAACTTGTAAAATAAAAAGAAGTTCAGGATGAACCACCTCAGCAATAACTGTTCCATATCCCTACTTTAGTGCTAAGATGCTATCATGCACTTTAAGATACTGTGTATTTTTCGGGGTTTATTTTATGATGTTTTCAGTATATAATTCAAGCTTGTAAAACTCATTACTAAATAAACACCCCAATGAGACAGGAAATGTTTCAGGAAGGATCCAGTTATTTTCATATAACTTGTGGCTGGAGCTAATATCTGTAGATATAATAGGAGAATAGTTCATAAATAGAAGACGTTTATTTACTGCATCAATTATGGCGTTTTGAAATTTATATTTTCGGTTTTCTTGACACCGAACCTTGAGGTTAGTAATCCTGCATTTTATTCAGATAGTGCAGGCTTGAAATCTCAACCCAGAGACAGGTTACACTGATTGAAACTCTTGTGTTTTTACTTCGTTCTTCTAGGCAAATGCCGAAATAATACCTTAAATTATGCCAGGAGCTATTACTTCCACATAATTTCCAATCCTCTAATCACCATACCATTCAAAGTTAAATAAAACATACTTAAATAAATCATGAATAAACAAATAAACCGAGAATTTTATGTCACTGCAAGCTCAAGCAGGCAAAGGGGAAGGTTAGAGATTTTCATTGCACCATTTAGTGTCACTAGTATAGTATAGTATAGTATAAACACTTTATCTGGAGATTTAACATCTTCATGTGCATTATGCTCAGAGTGCTTGGTTTCAATTCTTGAATCCATACAACTTTCATCACTGATGACAAGCCCATGTCTGTTACTTTTAATCATTCTGGAGGGTATTTTTTGAGTGAAAACAACTGTTCATGTGTGTGTGTGTGTGTGTGTGTGTGTGTGTAGTCAAACACTGTACACATCTGCAACGCGAAATTAATAAGTTTTGGGAAACAAAATAAAAAGTCTGGCATGCCAACTGAACTAGATCATTTGTAGATCATGTGTTTGTTATACACTAATTAAACGGCCTCCGTAGTCCCACCTCATGACTCGTGGTACGCGAGTTCAAACCCGGCGGAGGTCGTGGAATTTTTAAGGGCGGAAAAATTCAGGGAACAAGTCCTCCGGGAGGGACTTTAAGCCGTGGGTCCCGTGTCGTAGCTTTACGGAACGTAAAAGAACCTCATGTCTCAAGGAGGCCTCTGAGCCAAATTATCGGACATTTACCGCCCAACAAGAGTCTCTAACACCTCTGGTAGATGGGGAAAGCATCAGGTACCGCTGAGCCAGTAGAGGCCGAACTCGCTGGCTGAGTTGGGGCTGATGGCACGCACCAGTACCGGTAGGGTATAGAGACTGGTAGAACATCAAAGGGTGACGTACAATAGACTACTAGTCGCGGTGCATGGGGAAACCCACCCCCTCCAATAATAATAATAATAATATACACTAATTAACAGTGAAGACAACTGATTAATTGTAGATCAGTTGGCAGCTAATTAATTATTACAATGCACAATGCATTCTCTTAATTACATCTACCACACAAAGAATACAACTATACACAAGCAGAATATACAACATAATACAGGATACAGTAACTAAAGATGAATAAATAATTACAAAAATTAATATAGTGGAACCTCGCTTAACGACCATAATTTGTACCAGAATCTTACTCATAATGCGAAACAATATTTCGCATAAAAATTAATGTAAAATACGATAATGCGTTCCATGCAGAAAAAAATACTCAAAAAATTTTATGTATAACGTTTATTCAAAGAAAATTATATATACATTGTTAAGGAGTGTGAATCATAGTCATCTTTTCTTCTATGCGGAACAAACCAACCTGGAACGCGAATTCGATTTGCAGAAAACAAAATCGAAATAATTAGTTTATTATTTATGATACATATCTAATTCTTTTTTACTAGAAAGCTGTCTAGAGACATTCGTTTTTGCCGACGCTTCAAAATTTGGTGAAAATGCGACACAGCATTACCATTAAATAAATTTGTAGCGCGCATAGCCACTGCCTTATTAGGGTGATGCTTCTCAATGTACGATGCAACAGTTTCCCATGCTCTCAGCATTTCTCTTATTGCGCCAGAAGATTGTTGCTTTGCTGTTACCTCCTCCTCCTCCTCCTCCTCCACAACTTCTTGCTGTGAAACACAATGCAACTCCATAAGCTCTTGGCTGTGCTCTTCCACAAGCTCATCGATATCACTGTTATCCACATCCAGCCCCATGACCTTGGCCAAAGACACAATCTCGTTGACTACAGGCTCCACAGGTACTATCTCAAACCCCTCAAAGTCACATTCAACAAAGTTTTCCGGTTTCTTCCAAGCAGAAGTGAGGGTCATCGTGGATCCTGATGAATTTAAATCCTTCAAGGAGGTCATCTTGTATGTCTGGAGGATGGGCAGGAGCATTTGTCCATAACAAGCAAGACATGGAGTGGCAGATTCATCTGAAG